GGCAGTGCTCCCGGAAGCGCTGTGTGCTGGTGGAGGTCCTCTACAAACACCAGAGGGCGCTGTGTGTTGAAGACACAGACCTGTTTCTGCAGATTCTGTTTATTTACTTCTGTAAATGTGTGTAAACAGTTTTATCTTCATTCTGTAATGTGCAATATGACTGTGCTAATGTTCATCTGATTTATGCACAATACAGTTTGTAGAATCATATTTCTGTCTGTTGGTAGAGATATTATATGAGTGTTTAGTACATAATCTTATTAGATCAGCATTGTCAATGTTAAAGTAATTGTTTTCTGTGTCATGGTTTACATTTTACTCTCAAAATCATTCAGCATGAATCTGCATATTTTTAAGTTTATTTTTTTACAAGATTTGGTGTAGAAACGTCAATAAATGTGCACAGAGTCTGCCTGGTGCTGCTCATCATCAGTGGCCCTTTCCTCGCTCACACATATGTATGGCAGGCCTGTGGTTGTGTATATCTGTGAGGGACAGCAGTCATTCTGGCTACGGCACGCGCACCTCAGCTTCATGTACAATAAAGCCTCCAAAACTGGACTCAGTTATTTTGATCAGATGAACATGTGTCTTCTGTTCTATCAGCTTCATCTGTTCTCCAGAATTAAACTATTTCTCACTCCCCACAGATGGCGGTTCATGTGCTCGTCCACATTAGATTCCTGCAGGCCTCTGTATCGGGGAATACCTGCTCAAGTCTCTTCATAACCAAGCTCCTGTCTGTTTAGCTGGACTTCTCAGTGCTACACTCCACCCCGGTCTGACTGGTTTCCCCCACTGTGGATATATGTGTGTGTTTTATCCCACAACATGGACAGATTTCACTTTGACTTTAGTCTGTAAGTCTTCAGATCATGCTTCAGCTTCAGATCATGGTGCTGTCTGTTTCATCAGTCACTGGTGTTGGGAAATTTGACAGTCAAAGCAACATGTGTTAGGTGTTCAGCCCACACAGTCAGATATTGTGCTCAATATTCAGAGTTTTCATGATTCTGTAATATTACTGCAGAAACTCTGCAGAACACCTTATATGTCTCAAACAAAGTCTGTCTATCTGATCAGCGCCAACATTCCTCACTCATGCACTGTAAAAAATGAAAAGTTGAGTAAACTTAAAATTTTAAAGCAACCGGCTGCAAAGAAATTTTGAGTTTACTCAACTTCAGTGGTTGAAGTTGTGCCAAATTATTTTTTTAAGTTGACTGAAATGGCTAGTTTAAGTCATGACAACATTCAAGCCTAAGTTCATCTAACTTGTCATTATGAGTTTGCCTAAAATTAAACAGGGGTTGAGTAAACTGTAATAAATGAGTTGGCACAACTTACAGAAGTTCAGTTAACTCAAAGCTGTGCAGCTGGTTGCCTTAATTTTTTAAGTTGATTTAATCTTTATCTTTTAATTCATAATTTTATGGAAATCTTATATCTGCGCTTCTCAAACAAATACCTGTATGACTCTAAGTATGAAGTTAAGAGATTACAAAACACACTATAAAACACAATATCAAAGAATCTATTTATTGACAATTCTGCAAACAGCTTTCTGTCCAAATGAAATGTACTGCAGTCCAGAGAAGGAAAAGAGGCAACAAAAAGGTAAATCCTCAAATCCTATATTGCCTTTTAAGTGCTCGAGTTAAGCAAAAGAAATATTTAAAAAGCTTGCACTATCAACATTTTTTTCAAAGTGCAAGAGTAATTAGTTTTATCACGATATTTTAATTTTGTTACCCATCAGTTCTATCATTTTAAAAACGTCCATTTCCTGCTAACATTTGAGCGTTGTTGACCATGTTTTAAACACTGTTATATTGCCATTGTGTTCACATGCTCAACAGAAAACACTGATTGGGCGTGAAGATCATCAGTTCACCAAACTCACTGCTGTTTACTGAGTGTAACCACAGACACAGGGACACTTAAGAATTTCACATTGATCAACTGCTCTGTGTATAAGCTGACACAAGTGTTACGCTGATGGATCGACTATGCGACGTTTTGAAACACTCCAGTTTGTGTGTGTGTGTGTGTGTGTGTGTGTGTGTGTGTGTGTGTGTGTGTGTGTGTGTATCTGTGTTTGCACTCCATGAACATCAGTGAAGAGCAGTGAAATGGTGAACTTCTCAGCCAATCACAGTCATTTATGTTGAGCGCTTGAACACAACAGTCAATCAGTCAATTGGTGGGAAACGGATGTTTTTAAAATTTGAAAATGTAAAATCAAAACTGAATTTACGTTTCGTGACAACACCAAGAGTAACACAATTTCAGTGTACAAACAAATGCATTTTGTTTTTGAAAGACTGGACTCTTGCTGAGCACTGAGGATCAAGGCCAATAAACACTTTCTGAATAGTGTCAAAGATGAGTTTCAGTTCTTTGGGGTAGTTCATAATGAGGAAATTAATCAAACCAAAGAGGAGAACAACAGCTGTCGGAAGATCTTTTCCAGCACGATTTGCTCTTCCAGAACCACAGACAGGCACCTTACATTTGGGTTGGTCTGAAGAGTGGCAACATCATCTTCAACAGTGCTAAGGATGTCCATCTCCATCTCTTTTGTGCAAATATCTTCTGGCTCTGTGTCCTGCAGTAAAAAGAAACAAAAAGAGGATGAAAAACTATTTTTACTGCTAAATCACAAACATCTCCAAAAAGCAAGATAAAAAAAGCAAAGGCAAAGCAACTTAATTTGGAAACTGAAGGTAGTAATGTCAGTAACACAGTCATGTATATACCTTCTATTTATAAAACTTTTCAGGTAACACTTTTATAATAATGAATCATTTATTAAGCATTAGCAAATAGTGAATTGATTATCCGTTAAGCATCAACTCTACATGAATAAACAGTAGTAAGCTATTTAATAAGTACTAGTATCTAATAAATAAGTACTAGTATCTATTAAATAGATACTAGTACCTAATGAGTAAGGACTAGTATCTAATACATAAGTACTAGTATCTACTAATTAGGTAGTAGCATCTCAGTAACAGGTACTAGTACCTAATGATTAACTACTAGTAGATAAAAAATATGCACTAGTCACAGCTGGAATACATACTAGTCAAAACTGAATAGTTGATATCTCAATTAGAGATCCCATAGAAATGAATGGGAAAATTTTTAATTCATTACGAGTAACAACAGAAAGAAAGAACTATTAAAATAAGTACTAGTAACTGATGAATAAGAACTAGTATCTATTTAATAAGTACTAGTATCTAATAAATAAGTACTAGTAACTAATAAATAAGTACTAGTATCTAATAAATAAGTACTAGTATCTAATAAATAGGTACTAGTATCTAATACATAAGTACTAGTAACTAATAAATAAGTACTAGTATCTAATAAATAAGTACTAGTATCTAATAAATAAGTACTAGTAACTAATAAATAGGTACTAGTATCTAATAAATAAGTACTAGTATCTAATACATAAGTACTAGTAACTAATAAATAAGAACTAGTATCTATTTAATAAGTACTAGTATCGAATACACAAGTACTAGTATCTAATAAATAAGAACTAGTATCTAATAAATAAGTACTAGTATCTAATAAATAAGTACTAATACTAGTACGGGCTATAGAATAAAAGTTAACACGGCTTGCCATAAGTCATCAGCTATTGTCACATTAAACCAGATGCTCAGACCCTGAGAGATGACAGGTGGCACCACTTTACAATTGAAGGGCATTAATTATGGTTATTCACAGGTGAGTCATTTTGATCAGAAATTCCCAACATGTTTTAATTATTAAAAATGAAATTTGCTTTATAATTATTGTTGCAGCACCTGTTTTTACTCCCTGGTCAGCCGGACTCAGTCTTGGTTGTTCTACTAAAGACTAAGAGATGAAAATGTAGCATCCTTTACAGAGGTGAAAACAGTGCTACAAACTTTTCTTTTAGGGAACAAACTGTTTTGTAACTTCAAAGATTAATTACCTGCATGAATTCCAATATTGCACACAAAAAGAGAAACTCCATGGTAAACTCCATAAAGTTTAATATGCCCCCCTTTAATCAGTGATATGATTGAATGCTAAATAATTACTTGATTGTCCAGTTGGTCCAGGGCGGTCCTTATTATCTCTCCATATCGCCCACCACATGATCCATAAAACTTGATAGCGTATTCATCCGAAAAAGAGAAGGTATCTTTGAGGTTGGTTTGAGTAATCCTGTAAAACTCAGCATAGACCTACAAACAGACCATAAAACATGAATAGTATGAATTGTGAACAAGGGTTATACCTTTAAATGCCTGTGCACATCACTACTGTAATAACAGTGAAGACATGTTCATAACTGTGACTCCTCGACATTCACTCTGCTGTAACTGACTCCAGATGACGATTGTAAACGCGGGATACTGTATACCACACTTTACTATAGTACTGTTCAAGAACACCACAGGGTTTACTGTTCATTACTTTTGTTTCTCCAGTGGGGTGAGAACAGCCGGACCTTCATTATTATGCTCTTCTGCTATCATTATGCTGACATTACACTTACAGTCAAGTCTTCTGGACATTATCGTGTAAAGAGACATGATCTATTCCCATTGAACTTTGCATAGCTGGACACATTTATATGTATAAAATAATTAATATGCATAAATATTGGAACATTAAAGGCATAGTACACAGCAAAACTTATTATTTACTCGCCTTTTAACTTGTTTCAAACATTCATGACTTTCTTTTGTTAAACTCAAGAGATTATATTTTGAAGAATGCTGAAAAGCTGGAACCATTGTCTAAGTGTGTTTCTCCTATATGGAGATATTTTTTTTTCTTTCTTTCTTTTAAATAGAATGGAAATGAATGCACATATTCCGCGAGTGTGGTGTGTGTCCAGACGCAGAGCTGTGGATAAACCACGTCTGCAGTTGCAGAACAGGACGCGGCGGCGCGCGTGAGCGGAGCGCGCGTCACAGGCGGAGAGAGCGCACGCGCACTGAGCGCGCACTGCAGAGAGCGGCCGCTGACGGACTGCTGCTGGTGCTGCTAGGATGACGGCCAGCCGACGCGACCTCCACCTCGCCTCGCGCTGAACGACGGACGGACGGAAGGCCAGATGGAGGACGAGCGCAAGCAGCACAAGTTCATCTCGTTCCTGTTCTACCAGGCGGTGCGCGACCTGAAGCCCGTGTGGATGCTGGAGGACATGCGCACCATGGAGACCTTCTATTGGGAGGAGGACGCCAAGCAGAGGACCTACAGCCCGTCCGAGGCGCTGCTCTACGCGATCGTGCACGACCACCGGCCGTACGCGCATTACCTGCTCAGCCGCTTCTCGGACGAGGCGCTGGAGATGCCGGGAGAGAGCTTCTACTGCTGCCCGTCCTCCGCGCCACACCTGGCCATGGCCGTGCGCTACGACCGGCGCGACATCCTGGCGCACATCCTGCAGGTGGCGCATCAGCTGCCCGGCCTGCGTTCCTACATGAACCGCGGCGGCTGCTTCCACCTGGAGGACGGCAAAACCCCGCTCCACCTGGCCTGCGAGCTGCTGCGCGCGGACGCCGTCATGCTGCTGCTAGGCAACGGCGCGTCGCCGCAGGCCGAGGACCACAACGGCATGACGCCGCTGGACGTGGTGCTGCAGCAGCTGCGCGACTCGAAGGCGAACGTCGGCGCCAAGAAGTCGTGCCTGGAGAACCTGCTGATGTTCATGCCGGAGATGCGCTTCAAGATGAAGAGCGCGCTGCAGAAGGAGCGCCAGTGCTGGAGCAAGGTGCTCGGAGAGGACAAGCTCAACTACCTCACCGGCCGCGAGCCCGCGCCGCTCTTCCTCATCGCGATGCGGCGGATCCTCGCGCAGCTGCCGCCCGAGCAGTTCCCGAGCAGCCTGGACAAACTGCCCATCCCGGCCGCGCTCAAGCCGAGAGCGCACCGCGGCCGCCTGTCGGTGGCGTAGAGCCGCGCGCGTCTGCGTGTTTGTTTGTGTGCGCAAGCGAACGAAAGCGTCGCGGACACGAGCGCACGTCAGCGAGACCGTCTTCCTGTCTGTTGTCTTATAGTTGTCTTATGAACTGTAGACTCTGGCGTGTAAATATGAATTATTAATGAGCATCAGATCATGAACGCGCATCTGTGTACAAATATGCAAACGTGCTGTATTGATGAGCTGAGGGCGGGAAACCTCAACACCAAGAGCTGGACTGATGAAAGCATCACCATGTGTGTGTGTGTGTGTGTGTGTGTGTGTGTGTGTGTGTGTGTGTGTGTGTGTGTGACCCAGAACACATCTTGTGTCTTCATTGACAGTGTTTTACTCCACATCTCTGACAGATTCACTCATTCAGCAGAAATCAGTCATTCCTCCCACATGACTATACTACAGTAAACACTACAGTGTGTATGGTAACAGCAACTATAGTCACATAAACAAATGACCCAACACGGAAGTGTCTACAGCTATTGGGTATATTACAGTACAGTAAAACCCCACAGTTTACTGTAGTAAAGACTGAAGCACTACAGCAGCGGTTCCCAACTGGGGGTCCCGGCCTGCAAGGAGGCCTCAGCAAGCTTTGTTGGGTGTCGCATCATATTTTAAAAAAAGGTTATGCAGTGGACAATTAAAGGATCGACCATCTTCCCTTTGTTGATTTTATCCCGGCTGACCATTAAATGGACACATTTGTAATTGGTGCTCCACTAAAATAGTCTCTGATTCTCCTTCAGCAGCTTATAGTATTGACCCAATCATACTGGACCCAGCTGAGCAAGCTGCAAACATATCAGCTCACAGCACTAGCAATACTGGAAACACCAAATGCAGGAAATACCGGTATAGATAGCTGAACATTGGCTTATTCCATTTTCTTGAAGCAGAAAAATCCCTGAGCCAGCCACAGTGGTCTGGGAGAAAGTTCTTGCTAAGGAATGCATGAAGCTGTCCAAATTAATCAGACATTTGCAGACGACTGCCCAATACTGCAGGGTGAAACCCAACACACACGGCCTACTGATGTTTTGCTTTACATTAGGCTATTATCTGTGCATAAACATGTCTAGATATAGGAATAAACACACTGTTTGTTTGAAAACACTCTTTCTTTGTCATACCACTGCAACTCATATGAGCGATAACATCATTAAATGTGGAGGGGCCTTACTATATTTTCCAGGGGGAAAGGGGGCCCAAAAACAGTTGGGAACCACTGCACTACAGTACTGAACACAGTTGATCAGGTCACTGTCCTGCAGTGTGCTGGAGCACTCATGAACTAAGTGATGTAAATATTTACTATAGTATGGTCGTATGGTAAAGGAACACTAGTTTGCACTGGCGTATCTACTGTATCATTACTATAGTATTGTTCCATGTGGGATGAATCAGCTGAACAATCATTTATTCTGCTCCTGTGCCAAACACAAGGCTCATTCAGAGCATCATGCTGACATGATGTATAATAAACATTAATGTATTAAAGGGACAGTAAGTACACACACACACACACACACACACACACACACACATTTCCTCAGACTCCAGTGGCTGTCAACACTGATGAGTTTCTTTCCTCTGATGGACACAACACAAGACACACTGAGGAGAAGAGCGGCCGTTGGCTTCAGAGCTGGAACAGTAAACACTACAGAAGCCAGTGGCTGTGTGCTCCAGCAGAATATCTTCACTTGTGTTCAGCAGAAGAAAGAAACCCACACAGGTCTGGAAGATGATTCTGGCTGAGCTCTGGCTCTAGGTGACTCAATCTTCACTGTTTTCCTCTACAACCTGCTATAATTGGCTCTAGAGAAAACAGGATGGAGATAATCAGAGTCCAGACGGTCCAGATCCACCAGTTTCAGCTCAGCCAAACCCGTGTCTGATAGCAGAGCCTGAAGCAGAGGTGGGTTATTCGGACTGACCCGGGGTCATGTCTGTCATGCTTCAGCGTTCATAGTGTGTGTGTGTATGTGTGTGTGTGTGTGTGGCAGGACAACATCAGCTCTTCAAACATCTACAATCCACACAGTTCAGGATGAACTCTACAGCTCATATACCAGCGGTGTGGACAGAGGATGTTCTGCAGCGAGCTCTTCTGGACGGCTGAAATGAACACTGGCAGTGATGATAATGAGAGAAGCTCAGTCTGGACATTATAATACTGATGAGCTCTTGCTGATTCCTGAGACAGGACTAAACCGCTCCGCCGACTATTGACGGCTGTTTGGTCTACAGATAACTCAGTCAGTTCAATTGTATCCGTCATGAAAGATCCACAACACAGCTAACTGTGTCACAGTGGTCCACAGTGAGGGTCTCGGCCTTCATATGCAATCAAACTGAGCGGAGGATTATTGGACTATTATTGGATTATTTAATAAAAAATAATTATTTAATAAAAAGGTCTTGATTTATGAAAGCAGCAGTCACTGATATCTTATATAAAGGACAAACTCTCCAGCCACAGCCTAAAGGGTCCGTTCACCCAAAAATGAACATTTGTGCACTGTTTACCCTCCCTCTAGTGGTTTAGACCTGCATGAGTTTCTTTCACGTGTTGAACACTGAAGAAGAAGACATGTTGAAGAATGCTGGAAACCTGTAACCATTCACTTCCATAGCAGGAAAAACATATGCAGTCGCTGGTTTCCAGCATTCTTCAGTATTTCTTCATTTGTGTTCAACTCTAGGGTCATCATCCTCGGCAGGCTGACCAGACGCATTAGAGATGAGACGGCTAGCGCAGATATCGCTGTAGTCACAGTCTCGGTCATCATCTGTGCAGAAGCACCAGCAGAGATCAGCCCCGTTTCCAAAGATCCTTCCTTCAAATCATTTCAGGTAGACAGAGGCGGTGCAGAGCAGACACAGATCATTACTACATAAACAGAAACATTACTCAAAAGCAGAAAAAAGATATATACGTGAACAAATACTTTGTTAGGATAATATTTGGCCCAGATACTATTTGAAAATCTGAAATCGAAGGGTCCAAAAAACAAGTCTAAATAATGAGAAAAATCACCTTTAAAGTTATCCAGATAAAGTGCTTAATGCACATTATTAATCCAAAAATCCAGGGTCACATATTTAATGTTGTCAGAACTTAAAGAAATTAAAGCTCTGATCAACAGATAATGCTTTAAAGGTTTGATGGTGATTTACATTTGACATTTACATTAGAAACACATAGGGGTTGTGGTCAATGTACACTGTAATTGGGCTAGGACTTCCACCAAAATACTCTTCCAAGAGTTCACACTTAGCTGATGATTGATAGTAAAAGCTAGTTTGGCGTGCTGTCCCGGGAGAGAGCCCTGAGCTTATAAGATCCTCGAGCCCTGGACTCCCTCCCGTTGCAAGGCGAGAGGGGAGTTTGAGCTCAGGTAGATCTCGAAGAAGATATTGAGATGAGAAAATTCTGGTTATTTATAGTGAGTTAAGGATCGTCTGATAGGATAATCAGTCATTAGCTAAAGATGGAACAGCTGTGAACAATCATAAGCACGAGATCCTCTCAAAATTAGTTGAATAAACTTTACTTAAAATGCTGAAGGGGTACTATCAAAGCCAATGCTCTCTTCTCAGGTGTCACAAATGCAGATATCTCTATGGCAGTACCTTGCCAGTACCTTTTCAGCAAGTTCAATTTTGTGACATACTGAGTACGTCCAACACGGTCTACACAATCTCCCAGTCTTGTGCATTCAATTATTTTATTCTTACCGCATTGATCTTACGATAATCGGTACAAAATCTATAGGTGGAGTCAGATTGAGGTACCAGTATACACAGTGAACTCCACAGACTTTGGTAGGGCTTGGCCATGGTCAGGTGAATACTGGACATCAGTTTTCATGATATCTCTCTCTTTACATTTATCAGATAAGGATGTTGCTTAATGGGCTGGCTGTCTCTTACATCACTATAATGGCAAATTAGTGTAGTTTGTGATGCAATGTCAGCAAAATGTTTTGGTATATTTACTAATTAAAGTACTCACAGCTTCAGACCGAATCGCAGACAAGTGAGAGAGATGGGATGATAAATGCATCAGAACAACAGAATTCTGCAAGTGAGCACCCAATCTCTGAGCATCTTTTACCACTAACCCATCCTCCTCAGGGCAGTATGATGGTGGCACAACTACAGCGGACACAGACACTGGTTTATCGACACACTTGTCTTGGGTCACATTACTTGCAACAGATGCCTTTAACATATTCACCTGGCATACCTGATTGTTTCTTTTGCGACCTGGAGTACAAACAAGATACTGTCGCTGAAACACGTACAACACACTCTTACGATCATACTGGACTTTATTCTAGACTGACAGTTTATTGGATTATCTCACAGGCTTTATGAAGCCGCTCAAAACGGGCAATGTCAGATTGTTATTGTAGCTCAAAACCAACACTAGAGGGCTCTGCTTCACCACATTAAACTGCTTTATTTGTGTTCAGTATAAAATAACTACATAAACACAGACATTCAGCATCTGCTCAGGCATTGTCCAGCTATACAAGTCTCACATTCACCCCATACAACATTCCCAGTATATATATATATATATATATATATATATATATATATATATATATATATATATATATATATATATATAGTGAATGTGAGAATGAGAAGATTGGAGAAACGTTGCTGCTCTGATGAGTCTCCATTTCTGCTGACACATTCGGATGCTCGACTCACAATTTGGCCTCAACATCATGAAAGCATGGATCATCCTGCCTTGTATCAGCGGTTCAGGCTGGTGGTGGTGGTGTAATGGTGTGGGGGAGACTTTCTTTGGGTCCATTAGTACCAATTGAGCATCAACGCCACAGCCTACCTGAGTATTGCTGCTGACCATGTCCATCCCTTTATGAGCACAGTGTCTCCATCTTCTGACACAGGATCAGCTTCCAGTGCAGATAGGACCAGCGCATCTTTTGAGGTCCATCCAACGATCATCACTCTACCACCTCCCTCCACTCTTCAATACCAGTCACCACTTTACCACCCCCAACCCATGTACAGTGGTCCCTCGCTATAACATGGTTCACTTTTAGTGTAATTTGACATGCTCTTTTCCAACACTGCATTGTGTTCTGCGTCCTGACTGGCTGTAGACCAGTGTCATCCAATCTCCTCCACGCGTGTCACTGTAGGGGGCCAATACAGAATAAATAGAAGAAGATCAAATGGTGTTGATCCTTGCTTTCATTCTTGAACATTGGACTTGTTTTTCTGTTTTAGTTTTACACTGGTAACTGCAATGCACATGTACACGTCTATACAAAATAACTCACATTTACATTTGATGTAAAAACTGTTGCCAATTTTCAACAACAAACAAGCCAAGCAACATGGCTCTACAATACTGTCCCACAACACCGCTCAAATGTGCCTTATGTGTCATCAGCTGGACACAAACTCACTGTTCAGCATGGGATTTCAGCATTATTCTGTAGGCTTTTATCTTTATAAATAACTAATGTTAGTATTTTTTTTTTTTTATAAAATAAAATAATGTATTTGACTTCCGTTGTTTTGCATCATGCTAAAGCTGCTTCATTTTCTTGGAACAGCAACACTCATGCAGCTCACATGATTTTACTGTTTGTTTGCTTTTTGTGTGATGATTGTGGATATTTTATTTGGTGAATAAAGTCCTTAATGCTGTTAATGACTCTCTCTGTCTCATCCATGTTTTAAGCCATTCTTACCCTTCCCATGATAAGCCTAATAAACCAGCCTACATACAGTGCGTGATCAGAGGTTGAAAAAGCTTTGCACCCTCGCACAGGTGCACAATGACACAAAAAATAGATTGATTGAAGTAAAAAGTTTCAGGTTGCCTGTAAAACACATTAAAATGAAAGTAATGAGCCCAATGTAAAAATGTAAGGAGCAGAAAGTAAAAGTGGTCCAAAAAATAAAGTACTGATACCAGAAAAATACTATATATATATATATATATATATACACACACACACACACACACACACATTTGCCACTTTATTAGGTACACCTGTCCAACTGCTCGTTAACACAAATTTCTAATCAGCCAATCACAGGGCAGCAGCTCACTGA